CCCTTCCCTGCAATTAAAATGATTTTTAAAGGTCTAAGGTGTATGGAACAGTAGGATCAGTTCTGATCTATGCTGATAAAATTCTTGTGGTAAATTATTCAATCTCTCATTCTCTATTTTTCAGTCTGTAAAATGGAAGTGGGGTCTCTGAGAAGTGCTCTGAATCCCGTGACTGAAAATCTTTGCATTTGGGATGTTATTACTAATGGAGTTTATATGATTTTGATTAAATACTTGTGCAGAATTTTGTGTTCTCACCATTTCTGATTGTTTCCCAGGATTTTTCCTTGCAAATTTCTCTCACCTTTGCTTCCAGATCTTTGGAGAAGGTAGCTTTTAGTCTGATTCCTTAGGCCTGATATGTGACAGGCAGAAGGACTGTGTTTTACAAAGAAGGGGTTTCTCATTTTGGTATGAGGATTGTTGCTGCTTTTTTCTTCACATGTTAATGGAGACAGCTCTTTTCTGCTGCCATTTTCAGGTTCTTTCTGGAGCAAAATGAGAGTCCTGCTATCAAATCTTAATTAAACAGGGCACTGAGGGATTGTTAAGCAAAATTAAGTTAAAGTCATGGGAAAGGAAAAGTAGTCCATTTCTTTCCAACAGTGTTCTTGTGGGGTTTTTTGGCACGTGTGTATATACACACACATACATAGAGCACATCTGTATGTGTTTGTCACCAAGGGCTGGGGTCTGTGGGACAGTTTGCTCAGCACAGTGTATCCCACTGCTGCCACACCTGTGTAAATACTGCTCCTGCTGCAGACGCTGAGGGGGGGTAGCAGTGGCTTTTGTTTCAGTTCAGCTTATTTCAGTGTAGCTGACCCACTGTGACAACACAAAGGGAGCTGAGCAAAGGTCAGTTAGGCCAGAGATGTGTCTGTGCGGGTCACTGTGTTACTGTAGTGTAATGTGTAATCGTACAAGTGGGATCGTAATATTGCTACAGCTCCTTCTGAGAGCCAAGTCCAGGCTGTTTTGTGAGGGCCGTGGGGACTGTTTGAAATAGTTTAGTGACCCTAATCTTGTTTCCATTCAACGTGCTTTTTACAGAAAGACCAAAGTATTGCTCTTATGATGCTGATATTTTGTGGCTGTCTCTGTAGTGATGCAGTAAAGGGCTATTTTAAACCCCTGCTGTAGGCACGGTCCTGCAGCAGCTCTGGCCTCGGGGCACTGCTGTGCTGGCACAGCCTCCAGCCTGCATTGATCTGATGCTGTGCCTGTGCCAGCCCTCGGGTGGGCACTGCACTGGGCAGGTTTCTGAGCTTGGCTGCCTTTCAGAACCTGCTTCCTGTTTGTCTCCTCCTCTTCCTGCTGCTTTTCTCCACTGGCAGTTTCTCAGCTCTGCAGTTGGTGTTTAACAAACAAACCCCTGCGTCCCACGGGTTGGTTGTACATTTTTACATGGCTGTAACTTCCCTTCAGTGGAAAGCTGCAGCTTTGCTCTGCAAGGAACGCAGTGCCAGGAGCGTTCCTGCTTCTTGAGGCCGCATTTGGAGTCAGTTTTCAGTAAGAAAAACAACCCATCAAGCTTGAGAAGGACATATTTGGGTGAACCTGAGGGTGGGACGGGGTGGGGACCCTGTGGGGAGAAGCCAGACTGATCAGCCGTACCTTGCTCATTCTGCTTGGCATAACTCAGAGTTATCTGGGTGACTTACAGAAAGGGGAAGCTGGAGGGACATCTCTGAATGTTCCCACAGTTCTGTATGAGTCTGTACGAGGGGGATTTGCTCTCCTGGGGGTGGATTGATGCTCCATTTACATGGAGGGATTTGTAGGCTGTGTAACAAATGAGTATTCAGACTCCACTTAGAGAAATCATTCTGTAAAACACAGTATTTCCCCTTCCTGTTATATGGCAAAAAATAGTGTTTCTAAGCTTCTGAGTAAGATGATTTTGATGTAAAGTGGCAAATGACACTGCCTCAAACAAGACTGTGGCATTGCAGATTTGCTCTCCCTTTCCTTTTGACAGGTCTGCATCATCCTCACCCCACCACTTGAAGCAAGTCTAAAAATACAACCAAATGAGGCAGTTGGTGACTGCTTCAGTAGCCACTTCTGTTCAAGCTGAGAAAGCAGCCAGTGTTCCTTGGCCTGTATACCACTAAATATGGTGTAACAAACACAGATAATTTTTGTTAATGTAGATAAGATATTTGAACATAGCTTTGATCCAAAGCAGAGGAGGCTAATATAGTGCCCCCTCCTCTTTTTTTCCCTAAATACCACTAAAAGAAAAAAACCACAAACAAAACCCCCCAGTTGGAATACTGATTCTTGAGGCAATACATTCATACCTATACAAATGGGCTGGAGACTCTTTCTTCCAGCCCAGTTTAGTGCACACAGTTTAGTGTAACTGTCTGACCTGAAAGTCCACAACACCCAAGTCTGTTTTAAGGGCCAGCTTCCAGGGCTGTGTAGTGTTCTTTGAATTGAGTAGGAATTTGCTGTGGATCTCTCTCTCCCTCATTCTTAGTCTACTTTTAAGCCTTGTGCCTTCATGTCAGTACCACTTCTGAAAGCAATAACATGCAGTTCCTTTACAGATGAAGCTAAACTGTCTCCCTTTAATTTACATTATAAGTAGTTCAGGGCAGTGACTCTGCTTTTGCTGTGCATTCTGTCGTGCCTGTCTTGAGAGAGTCCTGACTGATGCCTGAAACTTCCAGTCTGATTTAATTTATTAAGTAACAGATGGTGACTGCTCCAGGATCTGAATTGAGGAATACTTAGGGAGCCAGGCTTTAATGAAGGTACTACAGAGCCAACCTCAGAAAAATACAGAGTGCAACATCCAGCAACACTCTGAAAAATCAACTGTGTAATTCTCTCAGAACTGAGCAATTATAGGTCACAAATTCAGTACTGGATTCTGTGTTTAATCTTGGTGGGAGTCACTTCAATGTTATTTGAGTTTGTGGGTGGAGATGTTTGTGCAGAAGATAAACTACACATTTCTAATGTGATGCAATTGGAGGAAAGTTCTTCCTAAAAGTTAAAGTAAACAAATGAGCCATCTTTTCCTATTCCCTGATATGAAAGATGGAAAATTTTAGTGGATGCTATTTTTCTGGCCTTGTGCAGAGTTGGACTTGTTTGCTGGCTTTGTGCAGAGCACTTAAACCTGCAGGATGAGCACTACTTTAGTATAATTTAACACTTGACAAACAAGCAGTGCAGGTATTTAAAGTACCTGAACATGGAATTGTAATTGCCTGGTGCAGGGTGGAAAGTAAGAATAATTGTTTCCATCGTAATCCTTTGACCTACTGCTCGAGTACCAGTTCCATCCACAGCTGGTAACATAGTGAAAGCAAAAATGTTATTTCCAAGTGGGAGATTCCTGCTGGGATTTTAATGCAAGGAAAACTGGTTTGTGTTCCTGGCAGGGGAAGTGTAGGGCACTGCTTTGTTCACACAGCACTTGATCTGTGTTTAAGTGCATGAGTGATTTTGGTTTCTGTTTCCTTCTGGTTAATATTTTACCTTTCAGTTTGTGTAATTCAAGCCAATACAATTTTATCAGATTGGACTTGGTTCCTTCAGCCCCTTTTAAGCTGTGATGGCTATTTAAGGGCTTCCCTTTCCCTTCCCTTTGCCAGTGCCAAATGTTGGTTTTCTTGGTAACATTTTTGGTCAGATTAGACAAACTTCTTCCACTTTTCTGCCTTGAAAAGTAAACCAAACCAGCTCTACCTGGCTGCCCTAAGCAGGTATGGTCAGAGGTGTGGGAACTCATCTGCTTTAGAAAAATTGGGGTTTGGAGAATCAAAACCAGAGGACTGAGGCATGTGAGAAAATGTCTTTCTCAAGTAAAGCAGCTGAAAAAAGCAATTCTGGAGTCTTTACTAGAGAGTTTAAAATTAGTTACTTCAAAAAATATTCCTGGAGAACATGCTTTTTTTCTACATAACGTGGTAAAATTCTTAGCTTTAAGCATTCCTTTGGCCTGTGTATTGAAATACAACTATTTGTAATAATGAATTCAAATCTTGAAAATAATTTTTTTGAGAAGCAGTGTAGCTAATTTTTTCACATGATTTAAATAGAAAATGTGAAATGTGATGGTGGAGAATATAGCAGCTCTTCTAAATATGTTTCATTTTCCTGTGTGATTCTCGACTGCTCCAAAAAACAGTTATTTAGGGTGTGCAGAAAATTATGTGGTATCATATGCTTTTGTCTTTATGGCATAATCAAAGTTGTATTTCATTGTTTTTTGCCCTTGCAGAAGTGCACTTAACATTTCATTTTAATTTTCTAATCGTATTAGTTTGGTATTTGAAAGTGTAATGTTGTTTCTGTAAATTCTGTGGTAATGGATAATGGTTAACAGTTTTACTTCATTCAGATCTAAATGTTGTGTATCATAGCATCCCTCCTTCAGTGACCTGCTACTGGGTTGGAATTGGAATATCCTGACTTTATGACTCTGCCCTGGGATGAAATTTCATCTTTTTTTTAATATTTACCTTTTTATTATTTTTTTTTTTTTTGGTTTAAGCCCTCTAGCTTAAAACATCCACGTTTTAAATTTTCTAGGCTTAGAAGGCAGACAGAAACTCAGATAACATCTTCTGGTGTCTTGGGTGGGTTGTAAAGCACAGCACTGGTGTTACATTTTAACCTTCCAGCTTCCTGGGTGTGACTGAAGGGGTGAGGTCGTTATGGATCCATTCTTTATGAGCACTGGAACATGGGAGTACCTGTTGTATATATGTGTGTACTGTGATTTATTCTGTGTGCTTCTCATCAGATCCCCAGGCTTCCTTGCAGTAACTTCTTTAAAATGGTTTCTGGTAGAACGAGTTCTGTGAAACAGGAGTGCTGTGGCTTTTTTTTCCTGTGTTCAGTGGGTGCCTTATTAAAAGCCAAAAGCAAAATTTTTAAAGTTTGCCCATGTTTTTGTCCTTCTGATATTTCTGCTTTGTATTTTAAAATCAAGTAGATTTCATTCCTCTGACACTTTTTTCCCCGATCTTTTACAGTGTGCCGGTCCAATAAAAGTCCCTGGGTCTGTCTGACGTGTTCAAGTGTCCATTGTGGAAGGTGGGTACCAAGAGTTAGTGTGCAAATCTCTTTATCAGACCTTTGTCATTGGCCTTTGTTGCTTGGCTGGGGGGCAGTTCATTCAAAACTTCCCTGAAAGAGACCTTTCATTATCTCATTTAACACTGTGTGTTCTGCTCCAAGTGGTTCTTAGCTACCTTAGGAGAGGGCAGAGATTATACTCAAGATATGGGTTTGTTTGTTTGTTTTGTTAAAGAAAAGTGGACAGTAAATGTGATTATCAGTTCTACGGGCACTTTTTGAACTGAGCAATTTAGTGGATTACTGTAAAGTTCTGTTCTGTAAAAGATGTTTCTGTTGAGATAAGATTAAGGGAATTGTTGGAAAACCACAAGTTGGCACAGCTTCTTTTGAGAGAAACAGCTTAGACAGAAAATAGCACAAATGTCCTGCAGTGTAGTCTGGGAACTGAAGTTATTGCCATAACATGGAAGAACCAGCTGCCAGCAGAACTCCTTCACTCTGCACCTGCTTTCTGTGTGTATTTGCAGAGGAATAATACAGTCACTGCTGTTATTTGTATGTCAGAGTAATTGTAGAAAATTTGCTGCTACATAAATGTTTGAGGTGCACAGATTAATGGAGTGCAGTTGGTGTTGACACTTAGACAGTATCTGAGATGTGAGCCTGTTTTCATCTGTTGGGTAACATCTGGGCCTGTATGCTAATATTCTGGAAAAGCATCATTAAACTCTGTCTTCTGAAGTGAATTGAATAAACTCCAGCTTTTGTTTCTTTGATCTAGATTGCAGTAAGTGTCACGATTTTAATAATGTCTCTTATTTAGTGTTTTCAGCACCAAACCTTTTTTTTTTTCCTCTCTTTATTAATTTATTTTATAGATTTATAGTTGGTGAGAGCTAAGAGAGGGGGAGATGCTTCATGTTATGTGATGGTGTGAAATAAATAGTTTGGAATTTTGTAGTAGTTACTAATCTTAAAAAAATATTATTATTAATCTCCAGAAATGGCCTTTCTTGTGTGCAGTCAGTAGACAGTGAGTCAGTTATTTATGCTGAGGGGGAGGAGGGAATTCACCTGAGGCCCAGCCATGCATTTCTGAGTATTAATGATTTTCAGCTCATACTTCAGGTTCTTGCATTTGTAGTGGCACCTTTTTTTTTTTAATTTACTTAATTTCAAATTTCGAGCATGAAAATGCTCACTGTGTCAGCAAAAGAGCTGTAGGATTTTAGATTTCTTCTTCAGTTATGTAACCCCAAGCCCTACAGCCCTTCAGATTCATGAACTTGATGACTCAAAGGTTAGATCCTGCTGCGGGATGGGAAAGCTGAAAAAGGGTGTGGGGGTCAGCACACAGAGCAGTCACAGACAGGAGAGCTGGGTGGCAAAAGAGGTAGAGCTGCAGGAGAGTCTATGGGAAAGCAGTTGGAGAACTAACTGCACTGAGGGTGAATCACCTTTTTTAATGCCTGTGTAAATATTGGATGCCTCTTCTCTTATTTTTTAAATGAATGTTGATTGGCGGTTTAAAAGCATAATGTTTGTTGTGTTTGTTTTAGATACGTGAATGGCCATGCAAAAAAGCATTATGAAGATGCACAGATTCCTATGACCAATCATAAGAAAACAGAAAAACAAGAGAAAGTTCAGCATACTGTGTGCATGGACTGCAGTAGTTACAGTACATACTGGTAAGGCTTTAAACACTGTAACTTGACAGCATTTTTTGTACTAGATGCTGAAAACTTTAGACTCTTGAGAAACATTTTATATGTTGCACACATTTTTGGGCATTTAATCTCTTGCTTTCCAGACCTGGCTGTTGGAAACACTCAGCTCTTGCATGTGGATTGTAGCACGGGTTGGGGCTGAACTCCCACATGTCAATTGGCTTAAACAGCAGAAACTTTTTGAAATAAGTGCTGTGTGGTTTGCAGTTGCTTCTCTTTGCTTTGGGGTGTGTTGAGACCTCACCTTTTAATTGCAAAAGCTGTTCCTTCCATCAGACTATGAGCCTTTCACATACCCTTTATTTGTCAGAATTCAGACAGTAGTGTAATACACTCCCCTTCCTGCCCAAGAGATCTGAACTTGGGGTGTGTTTGCCTGTGTAACTTCTGTGAGTTTGGGAAAGTGAGGGATCCTGTTGGGAAGCAGCATCAAGTTTCTGGCAAGAGTAAGGAGGAGATTCAGAAATGTTTCTTTAGGCAGCAGAATGGCCTGGGCTGAGTCATTCTGTGTGTATCTCAGAGTGAGATGAGCACTGTTCAGGGACACTTAATATTTATGCTGCTAAGGTTGGGTTCCCCATCTTCCCTGCTCCTCAGAGAACAAAGACTGGGAGTTTATTAAAAGCAGTGGTTTTTTGCCTTCAGCATCTTCCATCCTCTTCACCCTTAACCAAAGCTGGTGCTTCCCCATTTGCAGGTAGTTCCTGTTTTCCCAGGGATGTTGTTATTTGTGCAGGATTGTGTCAGTCTCAGGGAAGTCCGTGTTACAGCCTTGTACAATTACTGGGTGTGTGGCTTCACTGATGGGTACTTTGTTCAAATAATTGGGTATCTTTTGTGCACTTGATCTGGGAAAAATCTGGCTGTTGGAGTTTGGGTGTCCAGGTTTATGAGGAATATTGTCTGTACCAGATGTTTTTATCCCCTGCAAGTAAAATCACAGCTAAGTGGTCTTCACCTGAAGAAATGTTGTTGGGAGCAACTCAAAAGCTGCTCAGATGGTTGCATGGAGCTGTGGGCGTGTTAAGCACAGAGAAAAGGTTTGAGTAGCTTTGTGATATAAGGGGATTTCCCTTTTATTTACACTTGATTTAAATGACCAGCATTTTTATCTGCTTCTGTGTGAAAACATCAGAAAACAAAGTTTTTCTGCATGATACATGTGCACAGCTTACCAGCATTGGAACAGCTGTGGGAAGCTGATTTCACTTTCCTAATTAACCCTGGTAGCAACTGAGTTCTGTGTTGTGGCTTTTTGTTTTGTTTGAAGTATGACCTGTCTTCTAGTCATTCTGAAGGTAATAATCTGTGGAGGAATTTTAGCAGGGTGTTTGAAGTCTTGATTGTATCTCATTATGACAAATAGCATGCTCAACTTGCTGAGGCTTGATGAGTTACAGCAGCAAGTCCCAGCACCCTGCTGACCTTATCCCAAACCTGGTGTGGGCACTGGGAAATGCTGACAGCAAACCGAGGGCTGTGGGATCTGTTGCTGCCACAAACTGTTCTTGTGAGGAGCAGGGAGTGCACTGGGGAGTGCACTGGAGTGTCTGTGGCAGGACAGATGGGAGGCAGTTCAGCATGTGATGTCTGCTGTGCTGCAGTCCGAGGGCTGAGTCATCTGTGGATGGACTGGAACTAACTGTGGGGAGCTGTGCCTTGGGGAGCTCCTGCTGAGGGTGATTCACCAGCAGGTTGTAACTCCTCAACAAGATTCAGGAGCAGTTTGTCTTTGCTTTCCTTTGGGATATTTCAGTTTTTCCCACGTGATAATCAGAGAAAGGTACCTGTTTTTGTTACTGCACCCAGTTGAAATGAGCTCGGATGTGTGAAGGGGAAGCAGAAAGCATTGAAACCAACTTCTGCCCCTTTATTTCAGACAGCACTGGGGGGGCTGCTGGCAAATAGTGCTTGCCAGTTAAGGCAAATAGTTGGGTAAATCTGAGCTTCTGTGGAGAATGAATTTGGAAATGCTGTTTGTCAGCTTCAGTGTAGACATGAATGCAGTAGACAGTGCTTGTTTATGCAATGATGTTTCTTTTAAGTAAACTTCTATGTGAAGATTAATATTTTATGCTGGCAGTGTGGGCTGCCTCAATAATTTGAAAGGGAAGCAAATACCATCCAAAGACTTAGTTGAATTTTACTTCTACTGTAAAAATAATGGAGATATTTTGATGCAGTGCTGCCTTTTGTATTTTTATTTGCAGTTTAATTTACTGCCCAGAGTTGAGGAGAATACTCTTGTTCTGTTTTTATCCTATGGATCCCAATTTATTGCATTCCTTAGTTTGCATGATAATAAGCTGTATTAATAAGGCCTGTATGGGCTCTTTTCTAAGAAGGTGGCATTTGATCCTTAGCTTTTCTTTGGCCACGTCATAAACTTTGATGCAGTTATGAGAGCACAGTCCAAGGTTTGCCTTAACTGTTCTTGTCAGTACAAGGAGAAGAGACACTGTGTGAGTGTTGAAACCACCGTGGTTTATTCAGTTTTGTTTCTGGCTGATGTGCAGTCTTGCTGTAAACCAAAACCAGATCCAGCAGTCTCCTGTAACTGCATTTCAGGTGGAAGTCTAGATGTGTATGTTTTCTTTTACAGGATGACAAGCTTTCAGCATAGCTTTGAAAGGAAAAGTGTCGCAATTCTGGTGGGACAGTAGTTAATTTCTAATATTTTTTTTTTTTAATCTGAGATGAGGTTTTTATTGTATTTATGAATTTAGTTATATTTTGAAAAATACAGGCGTGCTTGAGCTAAAATTAAGTATTGGGCAACTATGGATTTACATTCCAGGAGGTTCTGATATTTATTCTGTGTCTTCCTGTTCACCTGCTCAATCTTCATAGTGGAAAAGTTGAGAGAATGTTAATATTTTATTCATTATGACAGTGTAACTCTCTTCTTGATTCTTGGGTCCCTTTGGAGGGTGGGTGCAATACTAAACCCTCAGACTAAATTACATTTGAGACCTTAACTGCTGAGAAAAACAGAGTCCTGAATTCCACTTTTTGGAGGTATTCAGCCTTTCAGTCAGTTCTGAAGTACTAAACACAAAGAGTTTACAAGAAGTACAGATCTTTTTTGTCTTCAAACTCTCGTGTTTAGTGGGTTAGTGGGTTTTTTGTGTATGAGAGGTAAAATGATCTGTGTAGGAACCCTGCTCTCCTGAAAGAGGACTCTTGTAAATTTGTTTCTCTGTGCACAGACAGTTGGTACAGAAGAAGAAAGGCTGCCCTGTTTATGTATTTGCATAATATGTTTCCTGTGCTCATTTAATCCCAGACAGACTTTGCAGGTCAGATTTCTCACCCATTAGTCTCCTTGTTATCCGTTAAAGGGGCACAGTTGTGTGTGTGTGTGTGTGTGTTCCTGGCTGACAGAAGAATAAGTAATGTTAAGAAAATTCTTTTCTAGTCTTTCTTTTTGTGATGGTGTCTGTGTTTAAAAAACAAACCAGATACTGTGCTGGTGTGTGAGTATCGGAAAATGAGATTACTTAGTACTATTATATTGCATTCTGCAGTCAGTGACAATTATCCAGACAGTAAAACTTGAGTTCTTAGTTTACTCATAGAAAGTGTTAACGGAAGTAAAGAAACTTTGGCTTTTTTCATTTCTGCTGTCCTGTAATTCCTCCAGTCCAGTCAGGGCCTTTAACCCCAGGCTGAGGTTGTGCACCCCACTGAAGGGGCCAGCATGAAGCTTCATTATTCCCAGAGCAGTGCATACATCCACTGGCTTGCTGCCATTTTAGAAGCAAATGAGGCCAGAAGAGACCAGGCCTTGGTGGGGGCAGAGGTACTAAAAATAGAAAGTGTGTGGAGAGGAAAATACCATGTTAAGCCACACAAGGGACCCTCTGCAAGGTATAGAGTTTGTTCTGTACCATTGCTGTGAAAGCACGTTGTAGAACTGCTGTATGCAAAAAAGGTGTTTTGTTTCTTTGGGATAATCCTGAGGATCACAAATTAAACATCTGTTTTGAATGGCAGCTTCACAGATAGGATATAATTTCTCAGCAATTTACCTCTAAGGTGTGTGGGCCTTAGCAAATTTAAGTTACTAAAACATGAACTACTACTTACTCTGTTTACTGGGTTTATCCAAAATAGATTCATGGTAGTGCTGTTATTTCAGGTAGTAGTGCTGAGTCCTCAGTGTTGCAAGCCCATTAAAAAGACAAATAGAAGAAGCTTGTCTTGATTTTAAGTGAATCTTCCAATTACTTTTCCACTGTTGGAAGGACCCTGACATTTACTGATGTATTTACTTTTATTCTTCCACCTTGGGGAAAGTGCTAAACTAACATGTGAAAATAAGCTTAGGGTATGGGAGCAAGTATGAAATCATCTTTCAGCAATGAGCTGTCACAGAGGCTTTCAGTGAGCTTGCATCTGCTTCCATGCCCTGAGTATCAGCATTAGTAGCTGCACAACCAGAGTAGCAGTGTAGTTGTGCTGGGTCAGTGTGCTCCAAGGGTTGGCCTTGGGGTGGTGTCCTGAGAGAGTGGCAAGTGCAGGAGCACTTCCCTGGGTCAGTGGAGGTGGCTGGGAAAGCTGAATAGGAAGGACTGCCTAAAACATGGCTGAAAAATGAGCACATTGACAGATTTCTTCTCCCTCCCAAACCAACTGGGTCTGTGGCCATCTTTTTAAAAAAATGTGTTACTGGCAATAATAATTTCTAGATCTTGTGTAAGTATCTGTAACTGCTGAGTTCATTGTTTGGGTATCTTGACAGTCTGATTAATGTCTCTTCTTAGAGACAAAACTCAAAGAGGTCCTGGACAGACTCCATTCAGCGGGAGGACCTTTCTTTACTTTCTCAACTCTGTAACCTCCTCAAGAATTAAATGTTTGAATTAACACTAGCAATACTGCAGATTTGTGCAACGAAGAGTGTTGTAAATTCCAGTTGTGCCTGAAGTCAGTAGCTTCATTAAATTAGGAAGCTAGGGTGGATCTGCTCCAGCAGGAGTAACCTGAGGCGATGGTGTATTTTGCATCTGCGTTGCTCTTGTGCCAAAGAGACGTGGATACAGCTCTGATATTAAACACATCCAAAGTTAGTTTTCTTCACAGGACAAGTTCAGTTGCCTGCCAGAATTTACAGCTGCAGTTTGATGCCTCCCAGCAAGGGCTGACAAACACTGGGAGCTGAGCTACCGGTGTGGGATGTGGGGAAGGGAGGCCGTGACAGGTCTCTGCTCCCTTTTTGTCCCAGTGCTTTCAAAAGAGCTGGGGCAGCATTAAGCCTTCTCTGACCTTGCTGTTTCTCATGGCAGGTTGCAGGTTATGAGGTGGCTGGGCTGGCTCTTGGCTAACCCTGCCCTGCTGGGACAGGGATGTGCAGCTCCTGCTGCCAACCTCCTTTGGCAGGCCTGGGGAGCTGCACAGGGTTCTTGCTGTGGATCTGTAGGATGGGCTTCCCTACTGACTGCAGTAGGGACATAGACTGCGTTTGTGTGTCTTGGTTTTAAGAGATTTTTGTCCTTCCTTTCCCTCCCCTCTCTGCTACCCCACCCATGGTCATCTTTCCTTCGGAAGTAGAAGAGAGAACATGGATACTGCATGATCTCTAAGGTCCCTTCCAACCCAAACCATTCTGTGCTTCCCTCTTTTTGTGGCTTAGCATCTTTTCTATTCCCTCTTTTTGTGAGGGCAAGAAATGCAAAGGATGTAAAATACAGCAAAGCAGCAGCAGCAGTCGATGCCATCTCGTCCCAGTGCTCTCCTTGTGACAGTTTGCTGTGCTGTTCCTTTATTTCTTCAGTGTGGTGTGGGCACTGGGACTTCACGTGTCAGGAAAACAGTGAAATAAGGTGTGGGGTTTTTTTTCAGACCCTCCCTCGCCCTTTTAGAAATGTCTGTAACCTTGGCCTTTTTGCACTGTGTGAGGTGTTACAGCCCACGGTTTGAATAATAAATTATAATGAATGTTTTTGCTTCTTGGGAAATGCGAGTTCCTTGTTACAGGATTGTAGACTTTTGTAACCCTTGCAGTTTTGATTTGGCTTCACTTTACATTTGCTTTGAGGGATCAGCTTTGCTCTGTTTTTCAGCTCAGTTACTTACTTTTGCACACTTACCCTGAAAAAGCTCAAAATACTGCCTTAAGTTTTGTCCTAAGAGTTTCTGTATAAAAACTAATGAACCATTGATGTTTGTGGTTAAAGCACGAGGTGGAAGTTGCCACAGACTGCTGGCCCAACTCTGGAAAAATTCCCATGATCTCTTAGTTCATCTTCCCTAGTCTTGTTCCATAGCACAGACTTGGATATTGCGTGTGTATCTGTTGAGCACCTCAGGTTTCAATGATGGGTTTACAATGTTAAAGTAGTTAAAAAGTCAATAAAACCTTTTGTATTCTGTTTACTGGATGTCAGTTTGGATGTCAGTTGATCTTTTCTGATGAATTGATACTGATGCTGCTTTTGGTCACAGTGAGTGTTTGTTGAACAGGAATTCTGCCTCGAGACAGGCAGTACCTCATGCTTCTGATTTCTCCTAAAGAACTGAACTGGAAGAAAAGCTGTGCAGTAAGGTAGTGCCTGTACCGTCTTTTGCTGGAGGGTAGTTTCTGGAGGGAACCAGCCTCGCTGTGTAGGTGTTGTGCTCCCCAGTCCCCCTCATAATCTCTCCTGGATCACTTCAGTGCTTCCCACACACAGGCTGGTGTGGTTTGAACTTCCCCGAGGTGCTTTGCACTTTCTCATGAATGTTTTTCTTGCAGTTATCGCTGTGATGATTTTGTAGTCAACGATACCAAGCTGGGCCTGGTACAGAAGGTCAGGGAGCACCTACAGAACTTGGAAAAGTAAGTAGTTTGTTTGCATCCAGACTGCTTTGGGTGGACTTGTAATACTGGTATTTCTGTTTTACATGAGCATATGTACCTAATACATATGTTTTGGTCCTCCTGTGTGTGTGACACTGTGTATGTTTGAATAACCTTTTCATCACTGAGAAGCAGGAGGTGCAGAACAAATGGATTTGGCTGATCTCATGTGTCTTTATACAGTAAATCTTGCAGAAGCAACATGTGATGAATCAGGAATTTAGATATCAATTAACTTTCTTCCCAGCTAGACAATAATTGCCGTCTTTTTCCATTTAAATGGGAGAGATTTTTCAGAACAGAACAGAAATAGTTCTGTCAAAAAAACAGTTTTTTTAATCAGAGAAATTGAAGTGAAAATGCGGGTGGAAGTAGTCTTCATATTAATTATATAGTTTGGGTTGCAAACAAAAAGATTAGGAAGGGTTATGAACTTGGAGTTGTACAGAAGAGACGTTTTTGCCTTTGCCTTTGTCTTGTGCTGTTCCACTGAAACATAGCTATTATGACCTGGGTGATGTAGGTGCTGTGACCAGTGCTAGAGGGCAAATAGTGTTTGCACAGTTTGCTTGAAAATCTTCTCTATTGCTGAGTGGAATTACCTGTGAATTCAGTGCTTTCAAATCCATTTGAATGCTCCAGAGCTCAAATAGGACTCTTGCTAAGAAATGGCTGTGATTTTGGGAAGTGTCTGGATCCTCCCTGAGTTAATTGTCACTTACTTGGTAGGCAGTACTAATATTTTCATTCTTTTCCACTGTCTTTTGATGACCTTCTCAGGTGTATAATGAGATGTAAGGATGTTAAAGCATAATGAGAAGGGCACATTAGTATTTTGGAAATGTCTGGGAGGTAAATGACACTGTGGAGGCTTCTGTTCTGTGTAATGACAGTTTTTGAATGTTTGGAGGGCTTTCTAAGGAAAAAAAACCCAACCAAAACAACAACAAAACAAAACAAACAAACAAACAAAACAAAAACAATTAAAAAAACCCCAAACACACAAAAAACACCCAAAAATCCGACCAAAACAACCAAACTAAAGCTTGGAACAAGTTATGGTTTCACTGTTAGATGGCAGAGAAATCATCAACTGGTATAATTGAGGGGTCAGTAATTTCCAGTGATGTGCAAGAAAGTAAGCAATTGTTCTTGTAACTCAGTGTTGCACAAATGTTATAACCTCATGTATTTTTATTTAAGGGAGAGAAGTCAGCTGTAACACAGAAGTGCTAACATTCCCGGTATTTTGGATTTTTGGTAACTTAACTTTTTCCTGGTTTTTTTGAAGTTGTCTTTCTCAGGGCCTAGGTGATTTTTCTGACAGAAGTATTTTATGGAAAATTCTGTATTAATTATTTATTTGATTAAGGAAAAAGATCAATATTTAGGTGACGAGTAGCCTGCTAATAAGGCCACTCTTGACTCTTCTGTCATGTGGATAATGTGCTGCAGTGGGGCCTGGGGCTGCACTGAGGGAGCTGCAGCCTATTTTAAGGCTCTGAAGAGCATGTGTTGCAGTTGGGAGGCTGTTTGCTGTCGGTGACAACTGATGGCAGATGGAATCACTGCGTTAAACACGAGGATCTTATCTGCTGCCCATTTCACACAGGACTTTGGTTTTATAGCAAATAACCTCTTTTTAATTACTTTCCAACAGTTCAGCCTTTACATCAGACAGACATAGGAAAAGAAAACTATTGGAAAACTCATCTCTGAACAGCAAGTTATTAAAAGTAAATGTAAGTATGATGGATTCAGTACAGTGAGTTTAAGGGGTTTTTAGAAGCCTGTTGGGGATTATAGTTGGCCTAGACTTGAAATACTTACAGTCACCCAAATTCTGCACTTTGTCTGTCTTGTCTTCTAATCACACACCTAGAAGAGCCCCTTCACATAAAAACATGTTTGATACTCTGCTACATTTCTGTTGACCCAGACTAAGAGATTCCCTGGGTTTCATTTTAATTTTTTTGCCCCCAAGTGCAGAAGGCGAAGAAGCAGGTACACTCTTTTGGGAGGGGGGGATAAGAGTAAGTGTTGGCAAAAAGTATAAAATAGTAATTTTTTTTTTGTATTTGGCAGCAATGGCACCAAAGGGAGCTGCAGCAAAAGCTGCCTTCAGCCATGGAATAATTAACTGATAACAAAGAGAAGCTGCTCTTGAGAGGAGTGTGAATGGAAATGGTGGGGTGGGAGCAAAACAGTCAGTTGCTGTTTTGCAAAGTCTGGAGGGATTTAGTTACTTTAAAAAATGCAGTACCTACGGTCAGTTTAGGGTTCCCTGGATGTGCTGTCTCTGCTTCCTGTACTGCAGGGACTAAGGAAGCCTGGGAGAAACACTTGGGATTCTTGCTGTGTGTCAGGAAAACTCCAAGCCAGTCAGAACCAGAAGAAAAATTCTAGGCAGCATTTAGATACAGAGAAGACAGAATTAGAAAGCATGAACTAAATGCTGCTTTCATTCTTAGTCTGTGCTGTTTTCTCAGTTTTGTTAATACTGAATATTGCCCGTGACAACAGATTATCTTTTCACTGTTGGCATGTGGGATCCTTATCTTAGAAAAGGTGGGGCACTGCTGGGCATTGATGCTGTACTGTGTCCCTCTGGGCAGGAGTGAGAGAAGAATATGCTGAGGACACTCTGGTGTTTGCACTGTGATGTACAACTACTAAAAGATAGTCTAGCTTTTAAACTGCGTGAGAACAATGAAGAATGCCCCCAAATGTGATGAGCTTTCAGTGGGGTATTTTGTAGACAATGGAGCATGTCCAAGTGTTGCAGATTCAAGAATCATAAATGCAACATTGCCCAAGTTTCTCCTCCCTCCTCCCTGCCCACCCTGAAGATTATTTGACAAAAACCAAGCTCATCTGTGGCTAACATTGTTCTGGACTGTAAATAGTGTGTATTTTGCTTCTCTTTGTTCAACACATTGCTTTTTCTTTGCACAGTCTAATGACTCTTGCTTTCTCAGATAAATGCTATTGTCTTGTCTTTTTAAAACCCTCCTGGCCACCACAAAGCCCCACTGAGACTCAGACTAGTGCTGATGACTTAAAATCAACCTGGAGGCAGCCACACTGCGTGTTACACATGGGAAATGGATGAGGATTGGTGTTTTCATTTTTTAAAGGCACTGAAGGGAAACTGCCATCCAGTTCTCACCGAACATTATCGGAGTGTGAATATTGAACATATATACACACAAATCCTTGGCAGTAAGAGCCTGTGATTAACTCTGTATTGTCCTATTCTAGATTTACTTGCACAGGGAAAGGTGTAGTGTAGTTTTCTGTTGACAAGAGTGAGTAAGAAACAGGTTTCATGTCAAGATGGAGCTTCAAGGTAGTTTGAGCTGGTGAGGTTGCTTTGTGTTTAAAACTGCACTCAGGGTAGTTGGTTATTGTTCAGATGTGTGCTGGTACAACAGTAATGGCTCTGGGGGGGGAAAGTGGGGTAAGTCTGTCTTTAACTCCCCTGTTCTCCTTTCCAGGGAAGCACCACTGCCCTTTGTGCCACAGGCCTCCGGAACCTGGGGAACACGTGTTTCATGAACGCAATCCTCCAGTCACTCAGGTACCCCTAGGGCTGTGCCCACCCCTCTGGGAGAGGGGCTGGGTGCTGCAGCATTAGGCAAGTGACTTTGGCAAGTTACCACTGGACAAAAGCATCCCTGGATCTGCAGGAACGGGGAGGGTGGGTACCATAAAGTCGTGTTCTGCAGCACGAGGCGTGTCCTGGGATGCAGCATTCCAGAGGAAACCCATCTGCAATGCCTGCCATGGCCTCAGCAGAACAGGAGGCTGCCCTTCCCTGCTGAGGCTTTTGAAATACGTTGGTGTTTATGGTCTCTGTGAAAGCAGAGACAGTCTTTGAGGATGGGTTTCGTGGAAGTGGGCAGGAGAACTGTTAGACTCGTTCATTGCTGCCAGGACCAGCTGTCCTTGTGCTTTGCTGAATTTGCCTCCTTCACTGGGAGGCTGAGTTGGGCTGTAGCAGAGCTCATCAGTCTCCACTCTCCATCATTCAGGGTTCCCTGGCAGGAGCTGAGGCACACGTGTCCCGTGTTCCATCACTGGGGCTGTGGTGGCAGAGGTCAGGATTGAGAGGTGGTAGGAGACATGGAGTTAACCTTCTCAGCAGTGCAGTCTGGGTTGTTAGGAGATGGTATCTCAGTCTGTTATGGTATCTCAGTCAAAGCAGAGCCAAAATGTAATTGTTTTAGGTAGCTGGGATGACAGTGATGTTTACAGATCTGCTCAGTTAGTTACAGAAGATGAGTGTTTGCTACAGTATTTCTTGTGTCCTGAACTGCTCCTGATTGCTATCCTTTATGTAGTTGTGTTTCTGCATTTCAAAGAACAGGCTCCAGAATACATAATATTGCCTTTTTTGTCTGCCCTTTAAGGATTCCATTCATATTTCCTTTTTTCCTAGTAACATTCAGCAGTTTTGCTGTTACTTCAAAGAGTTGCCTGCGGTGGAGCTGAGGAATGGGAAGACGGCGGGGCGGCGAACTTACCACACCAGGAGCCAGGGGGACAACAATGTGTAAGCTCTGTGTGCTCAGTAGGCTGAGCTGGACAGGAAACAGCCTGGGCAGTACAGCCACCACACACCTGTGATGTTGCACAGTTCACAGGGATCACAGTCACAGGAAAATAGTTGTCCCTGCACAGAAAGAAACTTGTATCCCTGGCAGTTGCTGTTGCAGGTGTGGTGCTGCAGGGAGCTCTGGAGTGTAACTGCTCTTCAGTAACGTTCAGAAGTGCTGGTTAGATGTATTCCAGACATTGTGCTACTTCATTCCAGCTAAAATATGGTCATGGGGATGTGACTGCAAGTCAGCATACTGCTACTACTACAAAAAAAAATAATTAGAAGTGATTCACAATCTGTGGCTTGTTAGAGCAAGTGTTAAGGGAGTGATGTTAGCAGAGTCTGCACTAAAATGGCAAAAGGTGGAGAGATTTCCAGGGGAGTACTAAACTTCTGAAATGTAGTTTTCCTGACCAGTGTGTCTCTCCAACATTATGAGTAGGAATTTGGACATAAAATCTTTGAAGGCACTGGAAAGGGTATTTACGCAGTCATTCCAGTCTTAACCAAGCTAATGTTTGATACTTGTTACCATTGAGTGAGTAAACCTCTAAACATTAAACACCAGCTTTTATTTTCTTTCCAGTTCATTGGTGGAAGAATTCAGAAAGACACTCTGTGCTTTATGGCAAGGAAGCCAAACTGCATTTAGTCCGGAGTCTTTATTTTACGTCGTTTGGAAAATAATGCCAAATTTTAGGTAAGTTTTGTAAAAACAAACAAACAAAAACAAAACCAAAAAAACCCACACCAAAACTCAATATTCTTGATTGCAAACTTGTATTGCTGGTGTCCTACTCTAAAATGGGCTGCATCTGCTTTGAAGAGGGTCTTTGCTTTGATCTCTAGTTTTGTGTCCCATCAGTAGTGCTTGCTTTTCTTCCTGCCCTTCTACCACGTGCTACATGTAGCAGTGTCAGAGAGGACAAACGTTTCAAATAAGAAATAGTAGTAGTTGTACCTTTGAGCCAGTGCTCCAAAGGGTGAAAGAATCAAGATAATGACTGGTAGGTAAGTGCCAAGTGCACGGGGTTGACAGAACCCAGCTTGGCTGCAATAAGAAAGTGATGTAGTCAGATTAAAAAAGATACAGCACCCTACAGGCCTAAATGCAAACATACTGGCTGAAACTTCCTTGATTCTCTCAAAATACTGTAGTTATTAGCTGGACATGAAGTGAGGGCTATAAGAGAAGAATCTTGTGCATAAAATAGGTGTTTTGTGCCCATACTGACAAAACAGACAGTAAAAAGAAAGGGGAAAGGTTACCAAAGTAAATCGAAGTATCGTTCCTCTCCAAGGTCTCCCTGTCCTGGCCCCTGAACCTCTTTCAAAGGAGCACTGAAACCTGTTAGGATATATTGTGATGAAGGTAAGTTGCTCCATGTTCTCGGGTAGTAAAGATGTTCTGTTCTCTGTTGTATCTCCAGCAGTGCTGAAAAGATGCTGTGAACAAACCTGCTCAGCGAGTAACCCGAGTAACACAGATCTGTTTATTCTGTTCTTCACACTCCCAATTATGTTTCACTTGCCTTATGAGAATCAAGGAAGTTTATTACCAGTAGTTGCAAGCAGTGACCAAAACATTATAGGCAAACAAACATCATCCATTATGTCCATGACCAGTTTCCCTGTATTACAGTCTTCACCATAATTGTTGTTAGAGTAAGTGAGGAACCAGTTCATTAAAGTTCCTCAAGCAAATTTTCAGCACTGTGGGTTCTATCACAGCTTTTAAAAAAAAAAGTGCTGTTTGTTGGGGTTCTCCCCTTTTTTTCCCCCAGTTTTCTGGGAGCATGTCCATGATAAATGGATAAGGGAACTCATAAAATCAAATTGGAGAATAGAGTCAGGTGCTTAGTAGGTCCCCACTTCCACATGATCCAGAGGGAAACTCTGAATTTGTTCAGTGCTTAATTGCACCTTGTAAAAGCTAATGATGCTGGAATTCCAGTTCTACCTTGTGCACTTCTTGGGAGATTGGGAGAAGCCAGAAAAAGCCAGTAGCACGTTAGCAGCAAACCAGCCACTTTGGCATGTGCTTTGAAGCCTGGAGTGAAGGGGCAGGGGGAGGAAACAGTGAGAAGTGTGGCTGAGTTGTTTTAGGCCCAAGAGATTTCAGCTGTCAGAGGCACAGGGTGCTGCTGCCCTCCGTGCCCCTCTGTGTCCTACTGCACAGGGAGTAGTTTGCATTTGTAGTTACTGCAGGCACAGCTGCAGTGCCTCTGGGCTCTCCTGCTGCTGTGCAGGTCCTGCTCCTTGGCTGCTGCTGTACTGTGTGCCAGGGTAGCTCTGGAGCCTCCTGCCGAGCTGCAAGATGTGTGTTTTGCTGCTTTACTGCTGTATAAATAGTCTGCTCTGTTTTCCTGGTAACTGTTCCTGTTTATATCCTCTCCTCTTGCCAGTGGGGGAAAAAGAATGTTGAAGGGGGGCTTGAGTTGAGTTGCTCCAGGTGGATGGAGATGAGTTTTGTTACACAAGCAAACTGTCAGAGAAACTGTGCTTTTTGATGAAGGGCTTTAAGATCACAGTTAATTTTAAACAGTGCATTGTCCATATCATCATGTCCTTTTAAAGATCTGTAATCTGTACTTAGGCTTTTTAGCAAATCCAAAGAATTTTCCATCTATAATTAGCATACTTGTGTACAAGTATAAATACATGCACCAGGAGCACTGCCAGCCATGTGGAATGATTCCAAAGGTTTATTTCTTCAAACTTGTTGTAGAGCAAGTGTGCCACGTACTTCAGAGATCTTTTTTGAGGAATTTAGGGTCCAAAATGTGTCTGAAGCAAAGACTTTTTCCATAAATTTAATCTTCAGCTGTTTAATGTGGTTGGTTATATGTTTACTGAAGATATCTGTGTTCAGTAAACTAAGCAAATCCTGCGTTACCTCAGCAACTTCAAAACTGTTCAGAATTAACATGCAGCTTTGAAGAATTCTGTTTTACTTCTTTGTTTCAACAAATGTATAATTATTTTGCAACTTTGGGAGAGTGAGTCCTGGTTTTGGCTGTACAGGCCTGTGGCCTGCTGAAGCACAACAGTGTTCCTGTGTGCCAGTTTTTCTCTTGTAAAAGTTAGGCAGTGCTGCCCATGTTTCTCAGGGTGCTGTAAGGTCTACATGCAGTCTCACTGATTTATTTTAAAGCTGCTAGTTTGGAAGAACACATTGCTGTAATCCTGCAAGGTGAAAAGGCTTTATTTCATTTGCCTGCTGTCACCTCCTAGCAGTACTTCCATAGGGCATATCTGTGGCCTTCCCTGAGCACATCAGCCTCACATTGCACAGGCTCTGTCCTCGTTTCTCTCCAGCTCTGGCTACCCTGCCATGAGTATCACAGACATTTTTCTCTCCCCTGAGCACTGGCATAAAAAACCCATTTGTTTTTCTCTCCCAGACATTCCTGCGTGACAGTTACTGCCAATACTTAGGTGGAGTAGTGAGGTGGAAGAGGGGCAGGGGAGGCCTGATAAAACAGCCTAAAAGAGTGGACAAGAGGAAGAGGGAAAGCCAGCTCCTGCTCTGCAGGGATTTTGGTAGCTTGGCCTACAATGCCTTGCCCATAATTATGTCAGTGTTGCACAAAGCTTTCACTGTTTCTATGTATGCTTTCCTGCTTTGTCTCAGTGTACAGCTTCGTGGCAAATGAACAGCAGTTGTTTGTTGAATTTGATGCATGATTTAGCTTAAATAACTGTAAAGGCACATTTTCCCCTGATGGCTTCTCTGTTCTCCTCCATAAGTTTTGTTAGTGGTGAGATCATGGTGGTGGAACAGCATTGCTGCTGAGGACAGGGCACATCTGAGGCTGGAGCCCCATCCTCCCAATTCCAAATGCTGAAGAGATGCTCTGAATGCCCAACCCTTACCTCCCTCTCCCAGCAAACAGTGTGAGTTATGCAGGGGAGGTGTGTAATTCTGAGCATGGCTATAGAGCCCACCATAGAAAAATGGTGCTCTTGCCCTAATAATTTCAGATTTCATAGTGTTACTGAAAGATGCATATGGAAAACAAACCCAGAGATCAAATTCCTGCCTTTGGTGGGGAGGGGAACAAACAGGCAAGCAAACACTTGGCCTTGCCAGAGTGAGGGGGATCAGTGGCTGAATGAAAACTGCTCACAAATACTGACTGAATCCCACATGAACAGTACATTTAGTGGTGCCTTTCTTTTGAATCTTGCCAGCTTTGAGAGTACAATATATTGACCATAATTTGTGGCACATTCAAAACAGGGAGAAACAGTGCAGTGTGTGAGTGGGGCTCATATGAATCAAATATATGAACCAAATACAGTCAGTGACAAAGCAAATGGAGGGGAAGTCACTGTTAGCATCCTGTACTTCTATTAAGGTGATACAGTGCTGGGTGCTGCTGGCACGGGCCGGGCTGGGTGAGGCCGGTTGACACGGCCTAATGTGTGATGATAACCCAAGTCCTGAGCAAAGGGTGGGTGTCTGCTCCTCCTATCCAAAATGCATATTCTTAAATGTTTCCCCATCCTCACAAAGAGATGAGCAGAGAGCGTGAGCTGCAAAGGACCAGAATCACTTGGTTTGTGTGGACATTGCTGTGCTTTCCAAAGGCTGCTTGGAAAACTTTCTCGGTACGAACACGTGTGTAAAGTCTGCTCAGTATGATTAAACCACCACAGGGCTTTTCCTGCCCCTGGTGCTGTGTGTCACCCCCAGAGCAGCCTGGCTATTTTGTGATCTTGTTGCTGTTGTTCCCTTCTCTGCCCAGGGGGTACCAGCAGCAGGATGCCCACGAGTTCATGCGTTACCTTTTGGACCACCTACACCTGGAGCTCCAGGGCGGCTTCAACGGCGTCTCGCGCTCCGTAATTCTGCAAGAGAATTCCAACCTGTCTGCCAGCAACAAATGTTGCATGTAAGGAGGGGCTTTTAATTTCTTCCAAGCCTTAATGCCTCTGTACATGGGGTGGCCCTGAAATTTCGAATCAGGGTTCCTCGTTTTGAGTTTTCTTCGGTGCCTCTGTAATGTTGAGTTGCAAAGCTGCAGGTTATGAAGGGTGAGCATCTGTAGGATCTGTGTCCCTTCAAAAGGAAGTGTCCTCAATCAGCAGCTTTCAGAGGTGTGAGTGAGCACACAGGCTGAGTTGTTAAGACATTTCAATAATAAGGATGATGGATGCCCTGCATGTTACAGGAGCAAAAAAAGATGGCCAAGCGTTTGGATATTTGACTTGTCAGCAAACCTGTTGGATTAAGGACTGAGCAATGCAGTCACAGTTTGAAGTCAGTTTTCCTGCACATGATCTTGCTGTATTTGCATATCACTTGACAGCTGCTGGTTTTTTTCTGGGTAATTTTGATTTTCATGTTACTGTGTACCTGGAAACAGAGGGGTCATTTTTGTGTTTCACTCCTCAAAATACTGTTTTCTCTGAATTCTGTCCCAGCTGTGTTTTCTCTCAGATTCAAACTGTCACAGAGAGAAAATCTTTTAATTTGCTTCAGGAAGGAACCTTAAGTCAGTTCAGCCTGAACATTTGGTCCTTGATCTCCTGCATAAAACTTGAGTGAGTTTTCCCTTCCTATACTGGTTGGGACACAGTAAGCAGGCCTGAGAGAGGCAGGATTTTATAGGTGCTTCATTAGGCAAAGCCTGGAGTTCAGACTGTGCTCTTCACTGCATTTATGTTGTGTTACTGATGCTTAAAAACCCCACAAAAGAATCCTAAAATGTCTGTAGAATTGACATGTGTTTGAAAACACTGAAAGCATTTTGGATGTCCAAATCCAGGGAGCATTTAAACTTTGTTTCACCTGTTTACTCTAAATTTGCCTTGAAGAGTGGCTGTGGAGATGGAGGATGAGGTGGAGTCAGCTGTGTTCTGTTGAGGGCAAAGTAAGGTCACACCCACTTGAACACCTACAGTAAAGTAATAAATGTGCTGCAGACGCTCTCTCCTTGTGCACCAGCGTGTTTGAGGAGCCTTTTCCTCCTGCTCAGGCAGCTTTCAAATGAACTGTAAGGGTGTAGGTGGGGTGCAGGTCAGGAACACAGGTTTCTGCAGGCCTGTAGTGTCAGATCTACCAGCACAAACCAGCAAGTTCAGGAGTTGTATAATAATGTAACTTAAATTTTGTTTGGGTTTTTTTAAATTGGATTATGAGAAGCAGGCCCATTACATAACCTGCTAAAAAAATGAAGTGGGAGATAGTGAAAGCTTAGAGAACAGTGATTGTTTATCATGTCTTAATGCAACTTGAGCTGTCTCTGGTAGTGAAGTGCAGAAATGTGCTCTAAGAATTCAGAAGTACTTGTAACAAAGAGTGTCACATTAAACCAAAAATATGCTTGACCTATCTAGGAGGGAAGAAATTTTGTTTCAGATACAGCTTTAATTACAGTGTTAAAATACTGTACCCGTCAGGTACAGCTCCACTAGAGAAATGCAACCAGCTGGAATATTGCACCCCTGAAAGTCTGAGCATCTGCTTAGAGCACACACAGTTCACCCTTTCTTTAGGTACAAGATGAAGCAGGAGTAGTGTAGCCACTACATACCTGTTGTGTAGCCACTGAATGGCTGCAGTGAGCAGTTCTGGGTGAGTGACCTGCTGGGTGGGTGCCCCCCGTCCCTGCTGCCAGCCCAGCCCAGCAGTGGGAGGTGTAAACATGTACCAGGCACTGGAGATTGAGCTCAGACATTGTGACTGACTGTACCTCTCTGATGTGGTTTGTCTAGAAATGGAGCATCTACTGTTGTCACAGCCATTTTTGGAGGCATTCTTCAAAATGAAGTCAACTGCCTAATATGTGGGACTGAATCTAGAAAGTTTGACCCATTCCTAGGTAAGGTGCCTCTTGCTTTCAAAATACCACGTGACCGAGGGCAGAAAATTAATCTGGGGCCTGATATATTTAAATGTCACGTGAGTGAACTGGAGTTTCAGCCTGGAAAGACCGGGCATTGTTTTATTCACATTTTATTCATTCGTGTTTTAATCTTTGCTTTTCTAGACCTTTCACTAGATATTCCAAGTCAGTTCAGAAACAAACGTTCTAAAAACCAAGAAAGTGGACCAATGTGCACACTACGAGGTAAGGGAGCCTGGGCAGGGGAGGCATCACCAGGGCTAGCAGTGTCCTCAGGGGAGCAGGCTGTCACCTGGCTGGCACTTGGTGCCCTCTCATTTTCCAAGATTCTGTGGTAGGAGGTGCCAGAATAATTTTCCATGAAGGCCTTACCCCCAGTCACCGTGTCCTGACATAGTGCTCTAATGAACTGGGGCCCAGAAGTGCTTCAGGGGGGATTCCAGCAGAGGTTTTTCTCTGTAGTCAGAGTATTTCTAATGTACCTCAGTCTTTCCACCCAATTCACCTGCTTTGTTGCCCATGGGCATTGCCAAGGCTCAGCAGCATGAGCCCTTGCCCACAGGAGGGGTGGCTCTTGGGGGTTCTGCTTGTTAAACAACAAAAGCAGTCCAGCAGCCTGGGCAGCAGTGCTCTTACTGCCATTTTACAGCATGGTAGTTTTTACAGATCTGTCAATATACTTGCTGCAGATTGTGAAATACTAATATTGCCTCTGTTCACTTAGTGTCTAAAGCCAAACCACCTTTAAAAGTTGAACATGCTTCTTTAGGAAGTCAGTTAGCTTTCTTTGAAACCAGCTGTGCTTAATGTTGGGCAGAAGTTTGTTTGAAAAATGGAGATTTTTGTGAATGCCTTTTTTTTTTTTCCTCTTAAACTACTTATACCTGTTTTCAGGAACATGTTACAATGTGGCATTGTATTAAAACACTTCAGTACACAGGTGTTTGCTGCACAAGTGGATATAACTAGAGTGACTGCAGCACATGCTCACCTGTATTGCTGTATTTGTTGTAATTCATGTCACAAAAATGGCATGATGTCATCTCGAATCAGGTTTCTTCGTGTGGTTGTGTTCAGGTTTTTTGTACCTTGCTCTTTTTCAGACTGTCTTCGCAGTTTTACAGACCTGGAAGAACTTGATGAGACGGAACTGTATATGTGTCACAAGTGCAAAAAGAAACAGAAGTCCACCAAAAAATTCTGGATTCAGAAACTACCAAAGGTTTGTTATAAGCACGACAAGTAACGGTGTGACAATAATGCCGAGAGAAATCAGCCAGCACCTGACCCTCCCCAGGCTGCTGCAGGTGCCTGGCACTGAGTTCATCCCTTCCTCTGACCCAGCCTTCCCTCCCCTGTGCCCTGCAGGTGCTATGCTTACACTTGAAACGCTTTCACTGGACAGCATATCTGAGAAACAAGGTCGATACATATGTTGAGTTCCCCTTACGAGGCCTAGACATGAAATGCTACTTGTTAGAGGTAAGAAGGCTCAGCAGCACTCCCTGCAGAATTTTGTTCCGTGACGTTTATTACAAATTGCAGTAGGTGCTCTTGAGATTTGAAGAGTTTTCTGTTTTTCCAACCACAGCCTGAAAACAGTGGCCCAGAAAGTTGCCTGTATGATCTCGTGGCTGTGGTTGTGCATCATGGCTCAGGGTGAGTACATGGAGCTGTGTTGGCACAGACCTTCTCCCACTTGAGTACCTGCAGAGTTAATGAAGGGTGTTCTGTCCCTAGAGAATGTATTTTAACTGCTGGAAATAAGCAGTAATTTATGAACTGGCATGGAACTAAATTTAGATTACCTTCAGATAGATCTGTACAGTTACTCCTGTGAATGCCCACAGGCAGTTCCTGGGGTTAATGACTAGAAGTGTGAGATGGAATGAAAACAGCCTAGTTCCTCTAGGAATGGAAAGCCCTGAACCAAGAGAATGAATTCAGAACCCTCATGTTGAAATTCTTAGTACAACCAGAAAGTGCATGTGCACTTGGGCTAAAGAAGGGGGTGTGTGTTGAGATGGGCACTGTGAAAGCAGTTACCCACTATTACCTGTGCTCCCCACAGTCCTGCCCCAGGGCTGGCTAGTGGTCATATTTCAAAGTTAAATTGGTGGGTGTTTTTTAACTTTTCCCAGCCCTGACAGCTCTGTTGAGAGTAAGAGTAGTAGGGACAAGACAACTGTTTATCCTGAGAGAAACTTGTCCTTGTTTAGGCAGTCACTCTCTGGGGGTGACCTGTGAAAGGAGTTTCCTTAAAGAAATTAAACTGTATCAAAACCTTGCTGATATCCAAATTGAAGTCTCAGTTCTGTCCAGAAAGCCCCTCCCTTTACCTTCTCTAGAGGAAGGGTCTGAACTCTTGGATTTGACTACTAAGGGCAGCCCATGTAGTGACACAGAGCATCTGCCTGGTGCTTCAGACTCGTAGGAAAACTATATGGACAGCAAAGGAAACCTGACAAGTTTTCTTCCTGATATTCCGGGAATAGTTTTGTTGTGACTGCTTTTGATTATATTTAAGCAATATGAGTGTCTCTAGTCTGAAATGGGGAAGATTTCTGAAAATAGACCACAGTGATAATTTTATAGCTAATGCTTGAATAACAAATAATGGACTTGATTTGTACCTAAGCAAATATGGAAGTTCAGTGTTGCAGAAAGCCTTGCACAAAAGTTATGGATTTTTATATAAAAACCCCTTTAAACTCCCCCCAGTAAAAAAGTGATTATTTTATTTAATATAAAACTTTAACTTGGAGAACTTGGAGCTGCACAGCTCAAGCAGGGAAGCACCTTCCCAACTGCTGTGGGGGCTGTCAATGCCTGGTTCCTGGCACTGTCTCAGCCCTGGCAGACAGGATCAGGGTGAGGAGCTGTGTGTGACTGTGTCTCTCTGGCAGGGTGAGGAGCAGTGTGTGACTGTCTCTGGCAGGGTGAGGTGCAGTGTGTGACTGTCCCCCCGGCAGGGTGAGGAGCTGTGTGTGACTGTGTCTCTGGCAGGGTGAGGAGCAGTGTGTGACTGTCTCTGGCAGGGTGAGGGGCTCTGTGTGACTGTCTCTGGCAGGGTGAGGGGCTCTGTGTGACTGTGTCTCTGGCAGGGTGAGGAGCAGTGTGTGACTGTGTCTCTGGCAGGGTGAGGAGCAGTGTGTGACTGTCTCTGGCAGGGTGAGGAGCAGTGTGTGACTGTCTCTGGCAGGGTGAGGTGCAGTGTGTGACCATGTCTCTCTGGCAGGGTGGGCTCTGTGTGACTGTGTCTCTCTGGCAGGGTGAGGTGCAGTGTGTGACTGTCTCTGGCAGGGTGAGGTGCAGTGTGTGACTGTCTCTGGCAGGGTGAGGGGCTCTGTGTGACTGTGTCCTGGCAGGGTGAGGGGCTCTGTGTGACTGTCTCTGGCAGGGTGAGGAGCTGTGTGTGACCGTGTCTCTCTGGCAGGGTGAGTTGCTGTGTGACCGTGTCTCTCTGGCAGGGTGAGTTGCTGTGTGACCGTGTCTCTCTGGCAGGGTGAGTTGCTGTGTGTGACTGTGTCCCCTGGC